GTGGGAATGGGGTGGTTTTGGGGCTGATTTGGGGTGGTTTTGGGGTGTTTTTGGGGCTCGATTTTGGACCAGTTTGGGGTATTTCTGAGGCAAATTTGGGGTGTTTTTTTGGACCAATTTAGGGTGTTTTTTTGGGCCGATTTGTGGTGTTTTTTGGGCTGATTTGTGGTGGTTTTTGGGCCAATTTGGGGTGTTTTTTGGACCAATTTAGGGTGTTTTTTGGACCAATTTGGGGTATTTCTGGGGCCAATTTGGGGTGTTTTTTGGGCCAATTTGGAGTGGTTTTTGGGCCAATTTGAGGTGTTTTTTTGGACCAATTTAGGGTGTTTTTTTGGGCCTATTTGTGGTGTTTTTTGGACCGATTTGTGGTGTTTTTGGGGCCGATTTGGGGTGTTTTTTGGAACAATTTAGGGCTGTTTTTTGGACCAATTTGGGGTGTTTTTTGGGCCTATTTGGGGTGTTTTTTGGGCCAATTAGGGTGGTTTTTTGGACCGATTTGTGGTGTTTTTGGGCCAATTTAGGGTGTTTTTGGGCCAATTTAGGGTGTTTTTTGGGCCAATTTAGGGTGTTGTTTGGACCAATTTAGGGTGTTTTTTTGACCAATTTAGGGTGTTTTTTTGGGCCGATTAGGGGTGTTTTTTGGGCCAATTTAGGGTGTTTTTTTGGGCCTATTTGGGGTGTTTTTTGGGGGCCCAATGTGGGGTATTTTTTTGGCCAATTTGGGATGTTTTTTGGGCCAATTTAGGGTGTTTTTTTGGACCAATTTGGGGTATTTTTTGGGCCTATTTAGGATGGTTTTTTGGGCCAATTTAGGATGTTTTTTGGGCCGATTTGGGGTGTTTTTGGGGGGCCCAATTTGGGGTGTTTTTTGGGCCTATTTGGGGTGTTTTTTTGGACCGATTTGGGGTGTTTTTTGGACCAATTTGGGGTGTTTTTTGGACCAATTTGGGGTGTTTTTTGGGGCTGCTTTGAGGTGTTTTTTGGGGGCCCAATGTGGGGTATTTTTTGGACCGATTTGTGGTGTTTTTTGGGCTGATTTGTGGTGTTTTTTGGCCCAATCTGGGGTGTTTTTCGGGCCGAATCGGGGCCCCTCCTTTTCCCGAGTCCATCCCCATCCCTTCCCGCAGGAACCAAGGATCCCAGGAGGAACCAGTACCGCCTGTTCCTGGAGTGTGCCCTGATCCTGACCTCGGTGGTGCCCCCCGAGCTGCCCATCGAGCTCTCCTTGGCCGTCAACACCTCCCTCATCGCCCTCGCCAAGCTCTGTGAGTGACCACGGGGGGAAAATTCCAGAGGGAATTCCAGAGGGGATTCCACAGGGAATTACACAGGGAATTACACAGGGAATGGAGAGGGAATTCCACAGGGAATGGAGAGGGAATTCCACACCCATCGAGCTCTCCTTGGCCGTCAACACCTCCCTCATCGCCCTCGCCAAGCTCTGTGAGTGACCACGGGGGGAAAATTCCAGAGGGAATTCCAGAGGGGATTCCACAGGGAATTCCACAGGGAATTACAGAATGGAGAGGGAATTCCACAGGGGATTCCACAGGGAATTCCACAGGGAATGGAGAGGGGATTCCACAGGGGATTCCACAGGGAATGGAGAGGGAATTCCACAGGGGGTTCCACACCCATCGAGCTCTCCTTGGCCGTCAACACCTCCCTCATCGCCCTCGCCAAGCTCTGTGAGTGACCACGGGGGGGAATTCCACAGGGGATTCCACAGGGGATTACACAGGGAATTCCACAGGGGATTCCACAGGGGATTCCACAGGGAATTCCACAGGGAATTCCACAGGGGATTCCACAGGGGATTCCACAGGGAATTACACAGGGGATTCCACAGGGGATTCCACAGGGAATGGAGAGGGAATTCCACAGGGAATTCCACACAGAATGGAGAGGGAATTCCACAGGGAGTTACAGAACGGAGAGGGAATTCCAGAGGGGATTCCACAGGGAATTCCACAGGGAATCACACACAGAATGGAGAGGGAATTCCACAGGGGATTCCACAGGGAATTACACACAGAATGGAGAGGGAATTCCACAGGGAATTACACACAGAATGGAGAGGGAATTCCACAGGGGATTCCACAGGGAATTCCACAGGGAATGGAGAGGGAATTCCACAGGGGATTCCACACAGAATGGAGAGGGAATTCCACAGGGAGTTACAGAATGGAGAGGGAATTCCAGAGGGGATTCCACAGGGAATTCCACAGGGAATCACACACAGAATGGAGAGGGAATTCCACAGGGAATTACACACAGAATGGAGAGGGAATTCCCTAGGGAATGGAGATGGAATTCCACAGGGAATGGAGAGGTTTTTCCGGCTGTTTTCCAGCCGTGTCCTGCCCGGAGCCGTTCCGGATCCCCTTCCCTCCCTTCCCTCTCTCCCCATCCTTCCCCATCCCCCCCTTTTATTCCCTGGGAGCGGGGGCTGAAATCCCTTGGGATTCCCAGGAGAATTCCAATTAAAATTCCCCTCGGAATTCCCGTTTTTCTGGCTGTTTTCCAGCCGTGTCCTGCCCGGAGCCGTTCCGGATCCCCTTCCCTCTCTTCCCTCTCTCCCCATCCTTCCCCATCCTTCCCCTTTTATTCCCTGGGATTCCCAGGAGAATTCCAATCACAATTCCCCTGGGAATTCCCGTTTTTCCGGCTGTTTTCCAGACGTGTACTGCACGGAGCCGTTCCGGATCCCCTTCCCTCTCTCCCCATCCTTCCCCATCCCCCCTTTTATCCCCTGGGAGCGGGGGCTGAAATCCCCTGGGATTCCCATTGGAATTCCAATCAAAATTCCCCTGGGAATTCCCGTTTTCCCGGCTGTTTTCCAGACGTGTACTGCACGGAGCCGTTCCGGATCCCGTTCGCCGGGAAGGTCCAGGTTTGCTGCTTCGACAAGACGGGCACCTTGACCAGCGACCACCTGGTGGTTCGGGGCGTGGCCGGGCTCAGGTGGGGGAAGGGACCCTCATCCCGAGGGATTCCGGCCG